ACAGGTGTAAGGACTCGGATTCATTCAGAGGTGCGCTAAAGATGTGACAAAACTAGTTCAGGGGGCGTTACCCTACCTGTGGGTATTTTGCTTCTCATGTGCCGTAGCATCAGCCCACCGTCGAGCTGGCTAGTTCAGACTGCGCTCTGCATCGAAGTCACTGCCTTCCCAGAGAAATGCAAGTACTCGGCCAGACCAAAACTGCTCGTGAGCAGGGGAAAATGCAATAGCGACACCATATTTTGGAGACTGTAAGGCATTGATCCCATGAGACCATCGCACTTTCTTTTACAGTTAGGTGGGCAGGTATTAATTAGGTGATATGGAGAGTGAAGTAAAACCGGCTCAGTAAAGCTGAGCGGTCAGCCTCGTTTTCTCTTCCCCTTCCCAGTCCCATCCCAACGGGTGTGTCTGACGTAATATCAAGCTGCACAGGTGAGAAAAACGGCATTTTGATGCCACCAGCAGGTGCTTGCGTGGAATGCATAATCGAGCCAATAAGCCAGAGTTAATGACTGTATCCTTGAACTGATCAATTATTGAGGCAACATTGGAACGGCCAAGTAAGGTGAATGAGTTTAGTGTTTTCTTGATATGATTTACGGTGGTTATTTAAACATGAGGTTTATATAACAAAAAAAACCAGGCACCCTCTAACCTGTTTGGATAAATCCCCAGTTTCTGCAGCATATTTTTCCCTTCGCTCTCAGCCTTGTTCCATTTTGCATGAATTTTGTCCTACACTATTACCGCAATTCTATTTACTCAACACTAAACAAGCCGTCTGCATGCATATGCATGCCCAACCTTCTTGGAGAAGTACATTGCTCTCATGACTCCTCCTGCCCTGACTTTCATTATTAAGCTTTAAGAGTCCTATCTGTGCTGGTAATATTATGGGACTTTTAGAGAAGTGATTTCTGCCCATGTACAAAAGACCGTAAACGTGTAAGGCCACAGTCTACTGTCAGGGGCAAGGGTACCAGGCAAGTCAATGGGATTGCTCACATACATCTATAGGTAGAATCTGTGGGTTTTCAAAGAGGAAAAATGAGTTGGGGGCTTCACTAACATTGACTTTCAAAGGGGTTGGGTCACAAACTGATCTTTGTTCCTTTGAAACCCTTGCCCAAAAAGATTTCTAGCTTATGTTTCAGTTCAAGGGTTCAAACGCTCTCCAGATTCATAATGTGCACAAAGGGTGTCATGTAATGACTTTAAAAGTTATCATGAAAAGTCTTTTAGTGCATAACAAGAACAAAAAAGACCCATGGCAAAGCTAGGGATACGATCATCAACAAAACACACGCCGCTGTCAAAAGACGCATGGCAAATAGGCAGGGAAAACCACATCCCACTTACAAATATCTTAATACACGGAGTTCAATCTATTGTACCAACCAAGAACTTGTGTTAGTATAAATTAGCATTTTTACATTTCTATTCCAGAAGTCAATCGCTCGGTTTGCTACACTTCATTAAAAACAATTTTCCTCGTGTGATCTCATCGTATTCATACTCGCGCACAAAATCTTACATGGTGTTTTCATTTAATGTCATCACACTATACTTGTTACTGAACTATTATCTGGGTTCTCTGTAAGTCGAAATGAAGAGATAAGGATCTTCATATCTTTAAAATACGTTATTGCTTACATTTAGCAGCACATACATTAACTTTAGAATGATTCAGAGCGGATTCAAATACGTTGCGCTGTGGGCACTATTACATTTCGGGCAAGTAATGCGTGCATTGCATTTGGGTCTTGCTGAAAGAAGAAATGTTTCCAACAGGCAGTAAGGAAAGTTTCTTTGGAAACAATTGTTTTGAATCACGTAGTAGATCGCAGTGGATGTTAATAAACTCAAATGTCAGGCCATTTCTTTCGCTCTCTTTTTTTTAAATTAACCATCGTTATTAGCAGGGCCACATTTATTATGGGGTTTCATGAACAGAAGTAATTCACAGGAGACAGGTTCTGTTTCTACATCGTTTGGTCTCTTTTACTCCTATCATGGAAAGTCAGATACCAGCTAGATCGTCCTATACCTAACATCACCCGTGAAAAGAATATAGACTCTTCTTCCCGTAACTCCCGCAACTAATGAATTACTAGTGTAATGCAGCTTATGACATACAAATATAATTCAGAAGAATTAATGTATATCAAAAACACAAACATGAAGAGTCCAAAAACATTTATATTAAGACCAAACAAACCTATAAGAAAAATTTAACTCCGTGTGCAATCCATAATACAAAATATTTTTAAGCTGCTTGCACCTGAGTTGATAGTGGGAAAGAGAGGGAGACACTGTCAGTGCAAGAGAATGATTCATGTGACCACTTTGTCTCAATTACTCCAAACAAGCGGTTTCTTGCTGTTTTAGTGAAGAAGAAAGATCTCAGCGTCCCCTGACAGAAAAATAAATAGCCATCGCTATGGTGAGGATGATGATGATTGCCAGGATAACTATCAAAATCCGGTTCTGGATGATCCTAAAAAAAAAATGAAAATAGAAAAGAATTAAAAAAACCCAAACCCAGTGAAAATGGCAGAATCTTTGGAAAACAATAAAAAGGTGGACTTGCCTCAAACAAATGTCTAGGAGAAAAGAGGTTTGTCCACAAGTTTAAACACCTTTGCACATATTGCATAGCTTAGATTGCTTTTTGATTTCTCTCTCAAGTACATAAATGAATTGCTGAATCACACAGCATGCTCCAATTCATATTTAAGTTTTTTAAAACCATTAAATAATAAATCTGGAATGATGTAAACCGCGAGTGCAGAACGTCTGTGATAATAAACACCTTATAGCCGCTTAAACCATAACAGAACCTATTCTTCCCCTCCACCTCCCTCCTTCCCCCCCCCAATATGAACAGAAACAATTTGTTAATTTTCAGGGGATTTTGCCATTAAGGAAACCCATGGCACATTAGGAAACCCATGTCAGTGAGGTACTTGTACCTAAATACCAAGGGAAAAGTATAAAAGATACTTTTGAAGAAAAGGATGATATTAAAGAAGCAAGTGTCAAACTGTGAGGCTTATGTTGTAAAAGCCTCAACTGTCTCTGTAGCATACATTCACTTATGGTAATAGGCAAATGTTACATTTACTATGTAGCAAAAAGATGGAAATTAGCAGTAATAAAAAAAGATGCCAGAAGTACAAACAGCTAATATTATTCAACCATTTGTTGAGAGGCACCTCTGCTTGTAAAAACAGAAAATGCAGCATGTCACATTCTGCCTGAACTCAACTGGTCAAATGAGGTTAAACGGATAACAATAGAGATTATAATTTGGATCTAGTTTGCATAAGAATTGGATTTTAATATTTCAGCCTTTCTATAACGCTCCCGCAGAACGATATTGCCAGATGCCCTTCCTGCAGCAGGAACTTTTGCAAAACATATTTGGCCATAGCACAGCGCCGGAACGGGATAAAAATAGCAAGAGAAAAATGAACCACGACCTTCGTTTTAGCGGGGGGTTGCTTGTTGTTGTTTTTGCTCCTGCAACCGCAACACTCAAATAAAACCTCCATGCAAACACCGACCAAACATGCAGGGGGAAAAAGACGTGCGGGCACGCTTTGTGACACGACAGACAGAGGACAGGGATGAAAACCGGAAGAGGGGCATGCAATTTGTTAAAACGAGCGGATTGCACGAAGCAAAATAAGACAAGAGCCCAGATTCTGGAGACGAGCTTTCCTCGGTAAATGCTTTTCGTTTGAGCCTGAGTGGATATACATATAGACGGTATGGGAAAGTATAAATAAGGACCAACTTCAGCCCTCTCCCTACTTACCCCCCACCCAGAGGGAAAAAAAAAAAAAAAGTAAATGGATGGATGAAAACTGTCACATCAGACAAACACACTCCCCTGTGACACTCTAAAAGGACTATCTCTCTATCCTCCTGACAGGTTACAAAATGATCACATTTGCTGACACGTCTTCCGCAAAACTGCTTTAGTGCTTGTGTCCACTTTCCTAGCAGGAGATGAATGGCCTGCTTTGTCCTCATTTATCACTTAGAGCTGAACTAAGATCTGTCTCGTTTATTTTTCCCTTCCTCACTAGAAAGGCTCCACCACAGCATTAATTCTGTTGCGGTGACAGCGAATTCAAACTTAACAGGAGATATTTACTCTGCCCAAAGAACTGAAAGGGGGTGTTTCTTGCTTTTAAAAAACAAGAAAAAAAAGGGTAAGAGCCTAACAAAATAAAACTAATTATGAGCTTTGGACTCTTGTTGGTTTGCAATTCAATTTAACACCTGAACTTCCAGCTTCTCTTTTCCGATGGTGTGCCATTCTCTACAAAACACCTGATAACAAGTGATTTGTCCAAACGAAACGCATGAAAACCAGAACATATATTTACTCAGTCACCCTCATCAGTCCTGAAAAGAAACTCAGCAAAATTGAAACTCAGCAGTGAAATAGATTAAAAGCATGAAAACTCTTAAAAAAATTCAGCCTTAAGTAACATACAGTACAGCTGGGGTGACAACCATTTTATTTGCGGGATGAGGGCCTCCAGGCATTCATAATGCTAATTTACAAAGGATTAACTGTGGGTGAAACTTGCTTAATCTAACTCATAGTTAGGCAAATGCACACATAACAGGCTGAATGTTTAAATCAACGCCTCGGATCTGGCCTACTTAATAGCGTTTCATCATTTTGGCTTTAAAATAAATAAAGCAATTCTTCCGAACGCTTTCCTTCTAATTCTGCGACCGCACACCCGATTGCGAGATTACTCAATCTGCGGCCGTGTCTCTGAAAGCCTTGTCAAGAGAACACAGAGCTATGTGTGCAGCCACCTGTATCTGCTAATTAAAGGTTCAGTTAAAGTGTGAATCCAGGAAATACATATCAAAGTTCAATTTCGAGGAATCTGAATTAGTCTGCCCAGTGCAGCAGAAGAATACGATATTAAAAGGAACAAATTAATCATGAAATAGGATGGATGTTATCAACAGATTCCTCTGCTGAAGCATTGTATAGTTTTAATATTCACGCCTACAGTTAAAGATTAATTGTATAGCTTTAAAAATAACAAGGTTGGGCTCTACTGTTTTACTTTTCTGTATGAGAGTAAAATTAAACAAATACCAAAATACCAGGAGGGGAGAGCTACAAGGAAAGCAGCTGAAAATCGCTGCGGCAGCAGCACAACATGGTTGAGGGGTTAGCGATCATTACATGCCGACGGCTGATGCTGGTCACCGGTGATCAGACCGGGATGACGACTTCTGGGTGTTGGCACGTTTCAGATCTCCGAGTCAACAGGCAAGGGCAGCTCTTCAGAGTAAAGCAAAAGAAAGCCGAGAGGCAAGGGGGCTTTGAGCGATAAAACATAGTCAAGCCAGCTCGCAGTGGTAGAACAATGGTTGGCATTGGCAGGGCCCATCTGTAGAGCAGCCCATAGTACTGTCGCAGCCAGACACTGCCAGTGGGTATTGCTGTAGGCAAAGTATCAAGGAATTTAAAGTGGGGGAGGGAATGCTAATACTAAAAGGGGGGGGGGAATGGGGTTCAACATCCTCCGCCCCTTCCCCAAAGCAGACCACAAAGCTGAAAGCCACCGATATTCCCATTTTTTATCTTTATTACTTTTCATTTTACAAAAATCTGCTGAGCGAGAAGCCCAGATTTTCCTTTGAAAATGCAAAGTGTGTTTACAGGGTAAATAATTTAAGAAAGAATATATACTTGAAAGAAGGCACCCATTGGAACATCCATGGCTAAAGTGCCCGAAGGCAAAAACTTGTGTATTTGCATGCTGCATTTTATTAAGTTAGCACACTGTCGCTTTAAAAGAATGCATGGCCAAATTAAGGAGGAATGTGTGACTGAAACATCAAGGATTCCTCCAGTTTACATTATGAATCACAGCGCTGTTGGTACTGGATGATTTAACCCTTTAGGGGACACATCTCGTTTCCAGAAATCACAGCACGCTGGGACTGCGGCACGGAGCTCAGAGCGAGCTTCCTGTGCCATTCAGATGTGGGAAGATAAGGACAATGTGGCACGGAGAAGGGTTTTTATTTCAGTGAGAAAATGCTACATTAAGTTCAAGTGAAGGGAATGGCCACTAGGTTCAAAGCGATCCAGAAATATAAGCAAAAGCTTAAGGTTACTCTAAATTGCCGGGCGGTGCTTAATGGTACAGGTACGTCATACTGTATAAGCCAAACCAGGCCATTTACACTGGAAGAGCACCCCGAGTTCCCTAAAAACAGAAGGGTATTAAAGGCCCAACACTTCTTCCTTGTGTTTGGTGGCAACGCCTAACCTCTGACCAAAAAGCCTCCTAGAGGCTCCCTTTACAGGCAATGCCAACTTCGTTCTCTGATTCGATGAATGACATGGGCAGTGTTCCTGCCGCGGGGTTGTGCGGATCATGTCCACGATACTTTAGATAGCCACTGGTCTGGAGAACAAGTCCCGCATCCATTTCCTAATGCTGATGTCTCTTGGGCCCCCTCCACAACACAAACTGTGATGCTTTTTACATTAAAAAACAAACAAACCCAAAAGATTATCTCCTTCCATGTATCTATGCACACACACTGGCTCTCACTTTGTTTGTGACATATTTAGATCTGCTCTGTATAAACACAAAGCAGTTCCAGAATAAGCTACTGCAAACCTTACATTAAGGATGCCAACCGTGTTTAAACCTTTTCACAAAACTGCATTCATTAGCGGGGGAGTGCACGACATCTATATGGGTTCAGCCTGATGTCTTGCACATGCCTTAGTGCCTGATTGACCAGCATTGAATAATGATGCCTTGCCATTAAGCACTGATGGTACAATAACAATTGTCATGAAAATTAGCAATCACGGTAACACGTTACAAAATATGGGACACAAACGAGGCAGTTGAGACTCCTGATGCATAAAGAGTTGTGCGCGCTTAACTTGAAATAATGAAGACAACAAAACAAACACTGCAAAAAAGTTCCAACAGCAGCTCAACTCTGACACCGATGCAAATAATAAAAAAAAAAAAAATCAACAGCTTTGGGGACCAGTTAGCATACATTTGTTACAATGCAGGGCTTTATCCTCAAAGAAGATGTCTTGGAAAAGAGTATCCTCAAAAACACCGACTGATTGATGAGAAACTCAGAACATATAATTACGGGCCACTCTCCAACAGTGTTTCACTGTAATTCATACATTTAAGATTTAACTAGAAGTAGCTCCCAACAGTTTACTGGATAGAACGTCCTCCTCTTTCAATAGGGGAATGCATTTTAAATGTCCACCTTGGCTATTAAGTCTCCGGGTATCTAATTATAGGTTACCAGTAGCTTTAATTTTTGCATGCCAACACTTGCACGTGCAAATCAAGCTGTAAGACTTCTAAGTAACCGATAGTCACGTGCAAATCGGTGCACTCAAAATCTCTTGGCTTGTTGAAATGGGGAAGATATACCAAAATAAGCTAAGATGCAAATTTA